GCATTGGTTAAAGTTGAGTTGAACAACAATCAACTCTCCGGACAAATTCCAGATGCTATTGGGGAATTGAAGCACTTGAGCAGCCTCAAGTTGCAAAGCAATAGCCTCTCCGGTTCCATTCCGGCATCCTTGGGCTCCTGCGTTTCTCTCAGCGACGTAAACATGGCTGACAATTCACTTTCCGGTGAAATACGATCATCTTTAGGGTCTTTACGGACATTGAATTCTTTGAATTTGTCCGGCAATAAACTTTCCGGTCAAATTCCGGAGAGCTTGTCGTATCTCAGACTAAGCCTTCTTGATCTTTCCAACAACGAGTTAACCGGTCCCATACCAAAGTCTCTGTCAATTGAAGCATACAGTGGTAGCTTCTCCAACAACCCCGGTCTCTGCAGTGAAAGCGTCAGGTCGTTCCGGCAGTGCCCAACAGATACCGGTACGTCTAAAGATGTCCGTACGCTAATTATTTGTTTTGCTTTAGGGCCAATCATCCTGCTTGTCACGGTCGGATGTTTCTTGTACTTGAGGAAAACAGAAAAGGATCATGAACGTTCCTTAAAGGAAGAATCTTGGGATGTGAAATCCTTCCATGTTTTGACTTTTAGTGAGGATGAGATTCTCGATTCCATCAAGCCAGATAATCTAATTGGAAAGGGAGGCTCGGGTAACGTCTACAGAGTTATGCTTTCTAATGGTTTAGAACTGGCCGTGAAACACATATGGAACACGGATTCTGGCGACCGGAAAAAGTTCCGGATCACAACCCCGATGGTCGGGAAACGAGCCGGGAAGTCAAAGGAGTTTGATGCAGAGGTACAGACGTTGAGCTCAATTAGGCATGTCAATGTGGTGAAGTTGTACTGCAGCATTACTAGTGAGGACTCAAGCTTGTTGGTATATGAGTACTTGCCTAATGGTAGCTTATGGGATAGGCTTCACAATTGTAAAGAATTCGAACTCGATTGGGAAACAAGGCATGAGATCGGGTTAGGAGCGGCAAAGGGACTCGAGTATCTTCACCATGGATGTGAGAGACCGGTGATTCACCGGGATGTCAAGTCCAGTAACATCTTGTTGGATGAGTTCTTAAAGCCTAGGATTGCTGATTTTGGACTTGCCAAGATTGTTGAGGCCAATTCTATTAAGGACTCCACGCATGTCATTGCCGGCACCTATGGTTACATAGCTCCTGGTAAGTGAATTTCCTTTTATAAATCTTGAAGCAATGCATTTATTTAGTTTTTACCAATTCTTTACTAATGTGATCGTTTAATTTTTAAGAATATGGCTACACATGCAAAGTGAACGAAAAAAGTGATGTTTATAGCTTTGGAGTGGTGTTAATGGAGCTAGTGAGCGGAAAAAGGCCGATGGAGCCGGAGTATGGAGAGGGCAAGGACATTGTTCATTGGGTTTGCAGCAAATTAAAGACCAGAGAGAGCATACTAAGCATTGTAGACCCAAAAATCTCAAGTGCCTATAAAGATGATGCCATCAAGGTACTCAGAATTGCAATTCTGTGCACGGCAAGGCTACCAGAGCTAAGACCCACAATGAGAAGTGTTGTTCAAATGTTACAAGATGCCAAGCCCTGCAAATTGGTTGGCATAGTCATCGGAAAAGATCCCGATCCCATGAGAAAGGAAGCGACGGATAGCTGGAAGTTTAATCCAGAGCCATAGGCCTCTAAAATTGGCCTTTTGGGCATGATCAATATTTTTCCATGGCTTGTAGAATTGTTGTAACATATTAGAGTTGTAAAATATTATGTAGGGGGGATTCTATGCCAATAATTTCCTTAAGGGGTAAGGAAAGCATAAGAGAATGCAAAAGCTCCAAGGAAACGATGGATGCTTGCATCATGTTTCAGAAGCCAAATTTATAAGAGAAATGCAGACAACAAAGTGTCTTGTATTGTTTGTGAGATTATTGGAGTTATTAATTTTGGATGAACACTATTTTGTACAAAAATTTGGTTCCTTATACTCCGGAGCTAGCAAACATTTTATACTTCTGTTTTTTCTTGCTGGGTGCACTCGGGGTAATATTGATAGCCCGAGAAATATCTGCCATAAGATGTCAAGAAAATATTAATTTTGCTGCTGGCTCTCGTTGAATTCACTCCTGCCAGTCACTGAGCTGATTTAGAAAATGTACAGTACATTACAGATAAATATAAAATAATTTTTCGAGCCATACATTTTTGTTTTGCATTTTTCTTTTTTTATTTTTTATTTTTAAGGTTCCAAGCTGTAGTTTTGACTTTAATCTTTGATGCTTGATGGGTTTGCACCTTGCATGGATTGGACTCACTAACCCTCCAAGCATGACGAAGATCAGTATTGTTGGGTTCAGATGGCCTCCAAGTCCAGGCACAGAAATGGACGTTAAGTTAAGACTTTTTTGTTTTATAGGCCTAATGGCCTATGATGTAAAATCAGCCCGTACAATCAAAAAATAAAAATCATGGGCCTATAGACTATGCCCGCAAGAAGCCCTAGCTTTA